TCTCCTGGGAACTAGTACTTGCAATAATTGGGAACTGATAAGTCCTATTTACAACAAAGTACCGCCAGTGATCTTAGGGCCTGGAGGCAGGTATTTTCTTCGGAATTCCCATAATATTTAATTCCTAGAAATCCTGCAGTAAATGTAGGAAGGTAATGTGATGTCACTGAATGCCTTTCTTCTGACATTTTTATTATTCCTAGTTTTTTTTTTTCATTAATTGATACAGTAGTTGACTAATTACCAAATACTTGTAAAAAGAGGCCAGGTGGCCCATGCCTGTAATCCTAGCACTTTGCAAGGTTGAGGAGAGAGGACTGCCTGAGCTCACAGGTTCTAGACCAGTTTGAGCAACATGGAGAGACCTCGTCTCTATAATAAATCAAAAAATTAGCCAGACATGGTGGTGCATGCCTGTGGTTCCAGCTACTTGGAAAGCTGAGGCAAAAGGATTGTCTGAGCCCAGAAGGTCAAGGCTGCAGTGACCATGAGTGTGCTACTGCACTCCAGCCTGGGTGGCAGAATGAGACTCCAACAACAACAACAACAAAAAAGAAAGAAAGAAAGAAAAGAAAGGGGAAAAAATCAATGAAAGCATAATCTAGCAATGGTGGGCAAGAAGATAGAGGGCCTGGGAATAGAGAGACCCAGTCATACTATTATATAAAAGTCTGAATGTAAAATGATAAGCTACCAAAACAATGGTTCTTAACTGCCAATTGGCTGCCAATTCACTCATTCAACCACTCAATAGATATTTAATGAATGACTGCCACATGTCATATAGTATACATAAAATGGTGAACTTCTCTCATGGAACTTCAGAATGTAATGTGTGAAACTAATATTAATCAAATAATCCATAAGTAAATGTAAATTTATTACTTGTTTTAATGTCATATAGAAATCTTAGATAGTTTTTTCTGTTTTCAAATTGAGGTAAAATTCGCCTACAGCGATCTTAAGTATACAATTTTATGGACATGTATAACAGATATGCTTATCAACATATGGAATATTTTTATCACCTTAGAAAGTTTCCTCGTGTCCCTTTCTATACAGTCTTCACCTCCCTTCAGTAGGTAACTTGTTCTGATCTCTATCATCAAGATTACTTTTGCCTGTTCTTGAATTTCACATAAATGGCTTTTTGGTTTTTTGCTCCACAATGATTTTGAGGTTCATTCACATTGTTGTTGTTAATGGTCATTTATTTTTTAAAATTGTATCCATTATATATGAACAATGTACGTATCTATCTTTCTGTTGGTGAATGTTTGAAATGTGTCTACTTTGGAGCTATTATGAATAAAGCTTTTATGAACATTCGTAAGTTTTTTGTGGACATAGGTTTTCATTCCTATTGGGTAAGTTCCAAGGAGTGGAATTGTTGGGTCATAGGGTAGGAATGTATTTAACTTTATAAGAGTCCTGGATATTATTTGAGCATGGTGAGTCAAGCCTGTAATTCCAGCACTTTGGGAGGCCAGGGCAAGAGGATTGTCTGAGCTGAAGGGTTCGAGACCAGCCTGGGCAACTTGGTGAGACCTTGTCTCTACAATAAATCAAGAAATAAGCCGGGTGTGGTAGCATGCGCCTGTAGTTCCAGCTACTTGGAAGGCTGAGGTAAAAGGATCGCCTGAGCCCAGCAGACCAGGGCTGCGGTGATTGTGAACTTGCTACTGCACTCCAGACTGGGCAACAGAGTGAGACTCCAACTCAAAAAAAACCAACCAAACAAACATAAATTCATGGTCTTCAGTCCCACAAACTCTGAATTAGTCAGTCTGAGGTTCCTAGGTATGTATGGTACATAGTTTTAAAAACTCCCCAAAACAAATGGTCTAAATTATAGTGGTGGTGGTGGAAAGGAAGTTATTTTGGTTTGGTTTTCTTTCCCACCACAAAAGCATATAAATGCAAATAAAATTTTTTTTTTGTTCTAGTTAGCTACAAAATAGCTTTCTCTGAACATTTCCCCCTACTCTGTCCATTAGCCCCAGAATTAAATAGCCTCTCTTTTTAGTTTCTCTGGTGAAATGCAAAGCTCTGGTTTTTCTGCTCTTGCTTAAAGTGAAGAAAAAGCTTAGGGAACTCCTTGAAGCAGCCCTTAGAATTGCTAAAAATGAATAAACAAAAATAGGACCTTAGGGTGAAAAGACACTTTGCATTGAGTAGCAGTTGAGGGTGTGTGGCCCTGTGGACACTGGTAGGATTTTTCTCTGCTTCTTTTGCTTTTTCCTTACTATCCTACCTGTCAGCAAAAAATCTGGATGCTGCCAATTTCTGTATCATAGAGTGGCTTCTGAGAATCCAACATAGAGACAGCCTAAATGTCTGCACATCACTAAAGAAGAAGCCTCTGGTTTCTAGGCAAAAAAAAAAACAAAACAAAAAAACCAAAAAAAAACCTGACACATAGGAACGAGAAGGGAGTCACTTAATGGATTAGGGGCTGGCTGAGCCAGGACCAGAACCCAGGTGGCCTGGCCCCCAGCCCAGCTGACCACACTGCTACCCACTGCTGACCAAAGACAAGCAACCCATTGAGCAACTGCACAAACAACAACGAATGATGGATGGTCAGAGCAAGAAACAGGCACAAAGCAACTGCAACCCCATCACTTCCTGGCCTCTAAATTTCCAAGCAAGCCTATAAAGTGTGGTCACTTAAATGATTTTGACCAACAACTTGGCCCAGAACCTTTTTGTGGTCACTGCCAAAAGAAAAAGTCCGTCTGTACTGAGGGTAGAGAGTGCCTTTGAACTCCATACCTTGTCCTTATGAATCTGTGCCAGTGGCGTTAAGACTAGAAAGACATAGTGAGCAGATGGGCTAACCTGGTCCTTGAGGGCTGTGGTGAAACAAGGCAGCTTTCAGATTTTTGAGACTCCTCATCTGTGGATTTGTCTTCCCACGTCAGATTTAGCTAGCAAGGGGTAGGTGTGGTCAGTGGAGTTCAGTTAGAATCAATTTAGGTGACCAAATCTCATCCTACGCTCTTCCTTAAATTTGACACTGAACAGTAGCCAAAATTTGTAGTCCCTGAATGCTTGAAGCCCAGGTCAAATAGCTCTTCTTGCCAACCTGAGTATGCCCCAGGCAAGGCATTCTCCTTGGTATGTATGTACAGTCTTAGGCCCGGTCATAAATCTTCAACTCTGCACCCAAGGATATCCCCAAGTGATAGTTGTCTAGGAAGGTTCCTGTTTCCGGTGCCAGTTTCGTAGTCTGAGCTGGATAATTCTAAAATGTCTATGCTCCACTGAGGATTTCAGGAAGAAGTGAGGGGAAAGAAAAGTTAACCTTAATATTTGTATTTACATAGGCCTAATGGGCACAGTTTAGACAATAGACATTATTTTGAATATGCAGATCAGGTGCAACAATGTTATGAATCTGAATTAAAATTTTGGGTTGCTTTCGTTATTGTATAGTAGGGGCTGGCCCCATTTTTGTCATGAAGTGCTATTTATTAAATGGTTTTTCTTACTTGAAACAGTCCACATTCTCCTAATATTTATTCATTCACTCAACAAATATGGAAGGTCTACTATGTGAAAGGGATGGCTTATTTATGTTCCCAAAGCCATAGCTCATTGTAACTCACATAGCACATATGGAAGTTCTGCCTTATATAATGATATAATGTAGTTTTATGTATTTTACTAAATTGTAATTTTTTTTCTAGTCTCACTTTGTCACCCAGGCTGGGGTGTAGTGGCATGCTCATGACTATGGCAGCCTCAACCTGCTGGGCTCAAAAAATCCCTCCAGGTGTGGCCACCATGCCTGATTATTATTATTATTTTTTGAGTTGGAGTCTCACTCCGTTGCCCAAGCTGGAATGCAGTGGCACACTCACGGCCACCCCAGCGTCGACCTGCTGGGCTCTGGTGATCCTTCCACCTCAGTCTTCCAAGTAGCCGGAACTACAGGTGCACGCTACCATGGGCAGCTAATTTTTTTATTTATTGTAGAGTCAAGGTCTCCCCATGCTGCCCAGGCTGGTCTCCAACCAGCCAGCTCAGGCAATCCTCTCGCCTCGGCCCCCCAAAGTGCTGGGATTACAGGCTTGAGCCACCACGCCCGGCCTAATTTTTTAAATTTACTGTACAGACAAGTCTCATCAAGTTGTCCAGGCTGGTCTCAAACCCCTGGGTTCAGGAAATTCTCTCGCTTCGCCTCGCCTCCCAAAGTGCTGGGATTACAGGCATGAGCCACCGCGCCGGCCTAAATTGTAATATTTTTGTTGTCTGGAATTATGTCTTGTTAATTTTTGTTTCCCCAACATCACTGAGCATGGTGCCTTGCACGTAATCAGGATTCAATAACTATTTGAATTGAATTACGCTGCACTCTTGTAAAAGACATTACAGACAAAAGCACTACATAATTGTTTTTTGATTGTGCTAACAGTCTAAGCAGATGTGTCAACAGGGTTTCATTGTTATGAAAGTAAATAAATACTACGTGCTTATAGGGAAGGGTACGTTCATTCCAAAGAGTGAAGGAACAGAAACGCATAACCGAGTGGAGACTGGTCTGGAAGAAGCGTTGTTAATTTTCCTTTGGTCCGCCCAGAACGATTGTGTAGAGTTACTGGAATTTCAGTCTTCTCATTCTAAAGTACTTTCATTCCTCTCACCTTTCTCGAACTGCTCCGCCTCTTTTAGCTCCCTCCCAAGGGCGGCAGCCAACTGATTCTACCCTAAAGTCTCGAGAATCCACCCCCCCTCGTACCCCTCCAGCTCTGGTTCAAGAATGCTACAAGCCAGGAGCTTTGGGAACGCGAGCCAAGAAAACACGGGGTCACGCGCGGGGCAAGCGCCACACTGGCCGCAGCTTGGGGAGCGGCGTTAAAGGCGGGGCTGCTACGGGGCGGGGCGGGGCTGCGGCGGGGCGGGGCGGGGCGGGAGGAGGCCCGGGGGCGGCTTGGGTGCCACCACCAACCCGCTCCGGCCGGAAACTGGCGCTTGTTTCCGGCCGGACAACCTAGAGCCACCGATCCCGAACCAGCTGCCGTAGTCGGAGTGGCGACCGGGTGGGGTGTGGAGCGGGCAAAGAGGCACTGGGGGAAGCCGGTCCGGATCTGTCCCTTCTGACTCCAGCTCCGGATCCGGAGCGGAGCGCCTGCGCGGTCGCAGTCTCCGCCACCGCCTCCGCCTCCGTCGTCGTCGGGGGAGGGGCCGGCCGGACCCGGGGTCACTGCTGAGGAATGAGGAGAGGCGGCCGGGCCCCGCGCTCCGCCCCGGCCTAGGGCCTGTCCCCGGGAGCCGCGAGGGTAAAGGAGTCCCCCCGCCCTGACACCTTCCCCCGTCTGCTCCCGCCCCTCCCGCCTTTTCAGACTCCCAAACTTTGCCCCTCTGATCTCCACTGTCCCCTTTCTCCTTTCTGATTATATTTCACCCGAAGCCAACTGCCCTAGGCACCCCCTCCTCATCCTGAGTGCTCCTTGCTGTGTCCCAACCTTTCCCCCCTTGCTCCTCACCTGCGGCCCGCGTTCCTAATCTCCTTCCCTGGTTCCTGGCCTCCCTTCCTGACCTGTGCTTGGGCAATAGGACTGTCCCTCCTTGTCAGCTGTACTCTTGGGTTGGAATGGTGGAGTTTTAGGGTGGTTAAGATGCAGGCTACTGCCCCCATAGTAGGATAAAGTTCATTTTACAATCTCAATATAAAAGTAAATGAAAAAAATAAGCGTTTTCTCCCTACTGATAGTCAAACTGAGGTACGTCCAGTAATGGAGGAAGGGTACGAAAAAGGTGTGTGTGTGTGTGTGTGTGTGTGTGTGTGTGTGTGTGTGTGTGTGTGTGTGAGAGAGAGAGAGAGAGAGAGAGAGAGAGAGAAGTCTTACGAACTTTAGAAAAAAGAAAAGTTGCCATGAGCCGATGGAAACTTTAGAAGCTGATGATGAGTAAGCCGGGGGCTGCGTGATCTCACTCTTCTCATAATTACTAGGTTAACGGTGTGGCTCCGGTCGGGATGGAATGAGATTTGTTTACTGGGCTGGCGTATTTTTAGCTTGTCGGCTCACAAGGACCAGCGCTCAGCGTCTCTCTCTCCCCCTTCGTGATAGTTTGTCTAACCTAGATGGCTTCTCTGGGCACAGTATAGATGTAAGACTTTGAAAGCTGAAAGAAGCTGACTGGTGGAATTTTATGTAAGTGGCTCCCCACAAACTTTTCAGGGAGTTTTTCATTAATGCAAAGCTAAGAACTTGCAGGACTTTGACTTGTATTTTCCTTATCTTTTTATAAGTACTACACGGACTGCTTTATTTAGAAAATCAGACACTGGTAATTTTTCAGTCTTTGGCTTCTAGTACTGTATATTTAGGGGCTCTCTGAGAAGGCTGGATCCCTTTGTCTTTTGGAACCTATTTCAAAGGTGGACAAGGACAAAGTAGAGAAGAGGTGGAGGTAGGACTAGTTCAAAATGGTAGATAATCCCTAAGTATTTTGAAAACAATTACTTTATAATTTTAAAAAACGTTTAGAATATTTCTTTTCCTGGTAAATGAGATTGCATTCTTGATGGAACGGAGAAGACTGTAGGGACTTATGCTGCATGGCTAGGGAGCATCAGACTTGTAGTTAAACATTTGCTGTGCATACTTTACAAATGAATGCATTATAGACAAACAATGAAGCATTAATTTATACCCTTTGTCCTTATTGTTTTTCAAGCAGTTCTTTTAAGGTTTACTAAACAACCTGCTGTGCTATTGGTATTTTGAAGGCTGAACAGAACTGTAAAATAAATGAACTTGATGATACTCATCTGCAGGCCGAATACTAGTCTCTTCTAATGTCTGCTAGTGACCCAGCATGCCTCAGAGCACCTCCCTGACAAAGTGCCCAGTTACTATGTACTTAGAGATTGCAAATGAATACAAATATTAGCTCATGCTAGGAATAATTGAGAAGATACATATGCTGAAAATATACTAAAAAACCAAAATAGATTTTTTTCAACCCCCCCCATTTTGAATTATCAGCACCTTTCTGCCAATAATTATCCATTAACATGATAATTTAGAACTGAACAGATATCTGCTTTGGACATTATGCATTCAAGCAGGAAGGAAAGATGCTAGGAAGATGTTTTCCAAACTGTTACTAATTTTTTAGTTGCTATTGCATGATTTGACTTATTCCTCTCATTTAACACCAAAGACTCCCTCAGCCAAAAAAAAAAAGTAAAACTTTACCAAAGAAAGGACAGCTTGCTGAGTTTTATAAGGCATGCCCAGTAATGAATGCTCAATGTTAGTTGGACTTTGGTGGCCTTGTCATCAGCAACTTGGAAATTTTTCTAAAGATTTGTTTGCTCAGTCTCTTTATTTTTAGACCCCTATTGAAAAAGGATTTAATTTGGAGACTAAAGTCTAATTTAAAAAAAAATCTATACACCCTCCCAGAGTCTGTTGACTATCAATAATTGTTTTGATCTGTGTGAGTTGGTTGGATCAATATTAGTGATGATATCTGGGTAAATTCTATTTATATCTGTATCAAACATCCCTGAGTTGAACTGCATATTTTATGGGAGTGGGAATTGAAGCTGTTGAATAAATTTAGGAATAAGTGAGAGCAGCCCTGTAGCCCACCATGATTCCCCATTCTCAGAAGGCTTTGTGTAGAATTTTGAGATTCAGTATATGTAACCAAGTGAATTACAGTGGAATAATTCAATATTAAAAATAAGTTTTTAGATAGTTATGAAGGTACTAAGTGCCACTTGTCAAAGTTTTAAAGGTTCTAAATATCTCAAGCATGCTAAGGATACTGGAGAGGCCATCATTGTGTGTGTGTGTGTGTGTGTGTGTGTATGTGTATGTGTGTATGAGAACCAGTTCCCCTCTCTTTACCCTAAACACTCATCCTATCAAAAGGAAAAGTTTTAAGTAAATGTGACCTCAGCAGTATCTCTTCTATGGGAACTTAGGAGCTAGGGAATCACAGACTGGGAATCTTCTCAATAGCTTCTGATAAGTTTGGATAATTAAAAATTTGTGTTGTTGGGTACAGTGACTCACACCTATAATTCCAGCTACTTGGGAGGCTGAGGCAAGTGGATCAGCTGAGGCTTGTAATTTTAAGACCAACCTGGGCAACATTGTGAGCCCCTTGTTTCTACAAAAAAAAATATATATAATTGGAAGGTAAATGCAGGGCAGTTTTCTTATGAATGCCTGAATTCAGTTGACTTTTTTAATATAATAGAAGGGAATTGATTTTATGACAAGCTTTAGGGAGATATAAAAAGACAGATGTCCTTGCCCTTGGAATGGGGGTTGAAAGGGAAAGGTGGTATATAACTGGGAAGGCAGACTATTATTGTACACTTTAACATTTAGAAAACAACATATAAACAAAACTAAGTTTAATGTGCTACAATTGGAATATGTAAGGGCTGAGAAAACTTGAAGTAACAAAGTAAGAATCAATTAGATAATTAGGGGAGATTTCTGAATCAGTTTTGAAATGGACTTGGGAAGCTATGGATTAGACATAAGAAGTATAGGCTGTGGAGTTAGATGTACCTTGGTTCAAATCTTAGTTCTACTTTTTTTACTATATAACCTTGGATAAGTTACTTCTCTTCCTTATAAAATAAGTGTGAGCATTCAAGTAAATGAAACAGTTATTGTGTTGGGAATAAAAGAAAGGATCTATCAAACAGAAAGTATAGAATGTACTGTGTGCAATGATGGTATGAATGACTAAGTTGTGTGTGGGGGGAATAAATGAGAGTGACTCGAGAGAATGTGGGTTGGTCAAGTCCTGGGTAGAACAGGCAAGAGGCTAGAGGGGACTCAGAGGCCAGACTGTGTTGGGTGTTGATAGATGGGTCAATAGAGTCATTGTAGGTCCTTGAACAAAGGATGGATTTAATGAGAAGCATTGAGCCCTTTGGTCCTGGAACTCAAGGACAATTAGGCAGGCAGGCACCGCTACATTGTGACTCTTCTCTTGAAGAGACCTTCCTTGCCTAAGGGGATAAGCAGGATACTTAAAATTCCTTGTAGAAGTTTTTGTGTTTACACGCTTTACTATGCTGAGCCTCCTTCTGCCTGTCTCATAGTCACCAACCTGTGGGGAAGTCTCAAGATTATGGCTGGATTCTCCTTAAGAGCTTATGGTAAGGACAGCATTATGTTTCAAGTGCATTTACCTCTCTCTATTATCTCTGCGAACATAGGGAACACTGTTATAGGTAATTCAGAACTTAATAAAGAAATTTCTTGGGTTGAAATGTATTATTTTTTAAGCCAGATTTATTTTCATTGGGGGGGGGGATCATATTGATATTGAAATGAACTTGCATTTCTAAGCCTGTGTTCCCGGATAGCGAGGATAGTACACTGATGATGAAAAGCAGTTAATCTTAGATTAAAGATTTGTCTCCCGAAATCCATAAAATGAATGACTCGTGTGGCTAATTAAGACTAGGCTATACTGAATATGTTAATAGACCAATATCTTTTCAAACCCTATATGGATCTAGTGTGGCCTCTTAGGCTGTCTGCGTGATACCTAAGGATGATTGGTAGGTGATGCCCATGTTCTAGCCAGAATGAGTCTTCACTCACAATATCTGGAGGAATCCCATGCTATCATGTTGCATTGTTGAAGATTAAGCTGATTTTCTCAAAGGACGTGGGCCTTGGAGAGGCTCTTCCAGATATCAGCTTCACTGAAAATCTGTCAGATTTTCCTTCTGAAGGAAACTTGTTTGAAATATGGCCAGTTAAAAAAAAAAGGAATGGGCAGAGGCATTCACATTTAAGAAGTACACAAAGTCCCGTGCTATTCTTTCATCTTTTTTTCTGAGTTGACTTGCTGTCCTTCATACCTGTCTCCCCCCAACCTCCTTATAATTATTACCAAACTATATGCTTGTGATGTCATGAATACAGAATTACTTTTTATCTCTTGAGTCAGAAGACTGTTGTATTTCTGAGCTAGAAATCAGAGGTGGAAAAATCAGGAATCTTCATACAACTAGGTAAGGATTATTTTCAACTGTGTTTTTTAGGATTATGTTTTAAGCCTGTATTTCCTCGGAGAAATAGTTTTGGATAGAAGGAGTTTCTAAACTGTTATTTTTAGTGACCTGCTATGAGTTTAATTCTATGCTAGGTGCTATGGAGAATCAGAGACAACTTTGTGCCCTTGAAGAGTTTACAATCAGTTGGGAGTAAAGAGAACAGGAAGGAAGGATCACTTCTTGGGCTTGTATTAATATGCCTGACAAACTTTTAAAGTGTGAAAGTATTTG